TTCGAGCGGGAGCTATTACTCCCGCCTTGACAACGTGGCCTTTACCCGCCGCTGCTCCTCCCGCGAGCTTTCCCTTTTATCGCTCCCATCGAAATCACATTCATTGAACTCCACCGCGATCTTTTCATCGACTCGCCGGGAATGATTTACGCGGCGAAAGGTAATGGTAGGCGCGGAGAAACTTGAAATAGATAAATGTCAGCGGCCAAAGTGAATTAGCCCGTAAATATTGGACGGGATTTTCGAGCGCGCGCGCCGTAATGCGTTTTATCAAAAATATTGCGAGATTAAATCTCGCCACAATTGGACCGAGATTCATAAAGACTATCCCATTGTACGTATTTTCCACGAATATTTCCAGCTAGCGGTCACGTATGATAAATCAATTATTGGGATATAATAGGTTAATATAGCCCGTGTTAGATACGTTTGCGACCGCGGCCAATGAATGTACGAGTGCGCGCTTGCCGGCACACTCGCCGGCTTAATTTCGGTCTGCACAAACGAAACCGAAATTAGTCGGACATTAACTAGACTCGGTCGTCTTTGCCTAGACCTAGACGCTTTGGGCTCGTGAATTAGAAGCCATTTGCGATGACTCGGGAGAACGACACTGTTCCGAGTTCCTCGAGCAATGAAAGACGAGAGAAACGCTTTGGAAGTTTGCACAATCAGTGTGCAGAATAAATACGGGCGTGCATTAGGCGGCCGATTGTGTCGGTCAAATTGCGCGTCGACGTTTCCTAACTTTGTGTGTATCTCTCCCTTCCGGATCGCTGACTGACTCGATGATTCTCTAACCACGGTGGGTGGGTGTTCATGTTTCTGTCATAAGCGACCAAAATGCTCTCCTATCTTCGTCCCTCGTCCCTCTGTTCATTCCCCCTTTTCATTCTTTTAATCGAATCGGGCGAACGGTCACTTTTAACGGCGGAAGATCGAAAACCGCTGCACTCGGGAAATGGACTCGACATTCACCGCGTCGGAATTTAACGAGTGCATCTAGCATCGCTCGCCCGTATAAAGCGGGACTTTCGGAGATTCTGCTCGCTCGAAAATAACATTCGACCATCCCTTTCAAGCCAGCAGGGCCGAATCAGTGAAATCAAACAGCACCTATTGAATTATTTGGTGGCTGTTTTCTGCTGATTTACACTGTTAATCAAAATTTTATTTCGATTAAATAGACACGCCAATTGGAAACATAAACAATTACTTTGGGGTACAAGGAAATTCGTCGCGTTTCCGATTTTATCATTTATATACGAGAACTTTATATATAGAGACGTTCTGGAATCCATCCACAGACATATAATTTAAATAAATTTAAATTTCAGATAATTTAAAGGGGTAATTTAAAGAAATCTACGTGCGTGTTTGAAATTCTAATGTTTACATGTATCGTGCATGCGTCGCATTGTCTCAAATTGTGTCACATTGTAACACGATGCTGTATAAAGTATATTTTACATATTATATAGTATTTAACGATATATATTATATTAAAAAGCAGAAATAAAAACACGTTTGAATATGAACCGAGTGTTTTCTTATTTGCGCATTCGTCGTATGAATTGACGGGGAGCGTCTTTGACGCGAATCGCACGCCCGTCTGTTCATTCGGGCAACGCCAACGGTAATCGCGCGTCCATTCGTGCATCTTCCCGCAAACACGGTATGTTTCCTCTTCCACCGCGGCTGTGTGCGAGCCATACATCACGACGTCGCGGGATAAAATCGCAGTAAATTGTATAAAAGGAAGCAGCATCGCCACAAGTGCGAAAGCAATAAGTCGCGTATCTGGCCGGCGCGCACGCTTGCATGTGCGTGCGTGCGTGCGTGTATGTGTACGTGCGCGCGCGCGGTCAGAACGCGACAGCAGCCTGGCCGACTAATGGACCTGTTACGAGCAATTCCGGTAGAACGACAATTGCGCGCGGAGGTACAATGCGTACGGATAAGTGTAATTCCGAATGCGCAATTCGATCAAAAATTACCCGTGCTTCGTCGGCGGAATAATATTTAGCTTAAATTACGCGCCGGCCGGAGCGCGCTCGCGCGCGTACGTGCGTGAAGTGGCGGCCAAGCTGGCTTTGCAGATTAGAGTGGTCGTACCTGTCAACCGTGGAATCGTCGAGCCTCTTGTGCACACGCTTTCCAACATGCGTTTAATTTTTCATCGCGGCACCGGCCAACCACTCGCGCTCTCGTCCCTCGCTCGTATTTTTTTTATTTCCCTTTCTTTCGCGAGCGGAACCTTCGCCCGCTCGTGAAAATTCGTTTGCACGCTTGTCTCCCCTGGTCACAATTCGTTCCCCGGAGAAATTTACCTCCTCGCCGTTGATCAAACTTAACGCATGTAACATGCAAAAGCCGAATTTCCAGCTTTCTCTTCGATCAACGTGCGCGCGTCTGTTCATAAGTTTTTTCATAACGCCGCGGGTTCGTCATTTTTTCTGTCCGAGCGCGGGAGAGTCTCGCGCTTACCAAGTGAAAAGTGTTTTGGCCGTGCGCGCATCATCGACGTGATGAGACACGCCATTACATACATTTTTCCCGATGTACCGTTGTTACGCCCGTTACGATGTAACCGTTACGACGTAACGCCCGACAAAGACTGCTACTTTTCGTGGCGCTGCGTGAATACTCGCCGCTTGAAGAGCACTTCGATAGAATGGTCGCGCTAGTCGCGCGGAATCTCGCGGAGCGATTGCGCCCCGGATTAAAAAGTTTTTTACTGCGTATGCGGCGGTGCGCCCCGGCGTCGTAAAAGTACATCTAATGATCCAAAAAGAGGAGAAGCCGATGCCGCGGCGAACGGCAGCCTGCGAGTTTATCGCGCAGCGAGGCACCCGTTAACGCCCGGCGGACGGACATTTTTCGGTCGCGAAACGATCGTATAAACGCTCGCATTAGCCCGGCTGCGGCGAGATAAACATTCCTCCAGCACCTCGGCTGGAAAATCACATTTTATTATTATCCATTAGTCTCGCGCTCGCGAGACCGGCGATAGAATCGTTTCGCCGCGCGGCGCGGTGCACTTCGCCAATGGCGGAGCTCCAAAATGGAAAGCGCGCGACGCGACGCGACGCGACGCGACGCGACGCGACATTCGGCCATAAAGAGATAAGATAAAAAGCCGCGCGCGCACAGCTCCGGTGTGTCGATGTGACGCGCACGGAAAGGGCGCTCATAAACGACGCATCGATTTCTCGCCGTAGCGCGACGTCGCGGCCGGATCGCAAAGTTCCGAGACCAATTTAGCGCGACGATAGCGCGCGCGCTCGGTGCCGCCGCTTCAGATACCAGCGCAGCTCTGCCTGCCCTGTCCTTCGTCCCAGGGCGAATCTCTTTTACGTACGTTCCACTCCCCCCTTTCAACCCCCCGCTACGAAGGCGCCCTGCTCGACGCCACAGCGAAGCACGGCACACGGCGCGGCGCGGCCCTGACAAAGGAGCGCGTCACGTCCATCCATCTTGCACCGGCCGTCTCTTTATTCCCGGGTTAAAAGCGTAGCGGCGGCGGCAGTTTGGATTTGCCGTCGCGCTAAATCCACTAATTTCGGCCACCGACTTCTGCCTCGGTGCATTCGCGCAGCCGCCGCGATCGATGACGGCAGACGGAGAGAGGGAGAGGGAGAGAGAGAGAGAGAGAGAGAGAGAGAGAGAGAGAGAAAAGGAAGGATACTCCGTTCTCTTTCTCACCCTCTCTCTCTCTCTCTCTCTCTCTCTCGGAGGTATAAATTTCGCGAGCGCAATCAGATTGAACTTTTACGATGTTAATTCGTACAAGGCGGCAAACGCGCGCCTCGGAGCTCGATACAATTATCGGGAACGTTATTCTCGAGATCTCGATTCTTTTTCGAGAAATGCGCGGACTCGAGACCGGCGATAAAACCCTCCCTTCCTCACTCCCTCCGCCTTGCCGAGCGAGCGGTCTCGCTGGCCGGCGTAAAAGCCGAGTGCCGTGTGTCGTTTCCACACGACGTATCGAGATTTTGCGAGCGTCCGTCATCCTTCCCGATTTCAAATAAAATCCACGAAAGCCGTCCCGGCTAAATGATGAAACGCAGACTAATGACCCGAATTGCGAGAAGTAGACTAATTACCGCCGGTAGCCGAGACGGGGAGAAAATATCTGCGTAACCGAGCGCTGCAATTTTCCTTTGCAAATTAACGTTTTCCATGCCAACCGGCCGGAGCGCGCAACCGTGAACTTTTTACTTAAATTTCAACAGTGAGATGCGAGAAACGTTAAAACGCGCAGTTTTCACGAACGTAGGATCTGGTTTTATACGACTCTCTCCCCGGCGCTCCGTGACTCTTTACGGAAAAATCAACGTGTTTCCCGGCGCAAATAGCTGAAATAATCTTTAGCCGGCTGCAAGCCCGCACAATCTCGTCCCTCTGGAACGACGGCCGGCGCCGAAATCCCCGCGCAAGATATTAATACTTTTCATTACGCGTATAAAATCCGTGACTCTCTTCGCTTCACGCGAGTCGAAATTAAGAACCTGATGTTGAAGAGATCGGGAATACTCAATGTTGGAAAGTTACACGTGCTCAGCGTGCGAATCGCGAGCCTCGCGTATTCGCGACGAAGCGCGACGAAAAGAATGGTGTAATTACGTCGTCGCTTGTGGCTAAAAGAAAAACCCCTCGTACAAACTGCGCGACGAATTAACGCCGAGCGAGGTTAGACGAAACGTCAATTCCCAAATGAGCACGCTCGCAGCACTTTGTACGTCCTGCGGTTGGTTCGAAGAAGGAGGGCGAACAGGATGAAGAGAAAAGAGAGCACGAAGAGGGAAATTTATTTCGGACGCACGAGATGCGCGCGCGCGCGCGCGCGCGCGCGATCGCACGAGCGAAGCCTCGAAATGCGTCCGCGAGGGCGATCGCGCGAGGGCGGCGTGACTGCGATACCCCGTAGGGATAAACGACAATCCTATTGTGAGCCCGGTCTAATCAGGGAATCCCGCTCGATCTTTTGTTCACAGGTCCGCCGACGATCCTGGTGAGGCCACAGTCGCAGCAGGTGAAGGCAGGCGGGATAGCCAGCTTCTACTGCACTGCGGAAGGCGCGCCGCCGCCCCAAATACACTGGCGGAAGAACGGCAAGAGAATTTCACGTGAGTTCGCGCTCTCCTTCGCGATTCTCGCACCCCGCGTTCCCCTCTCGATCCGTATCCCCGGGATCGCCCAAGCTGTTGAAAATACCCAAGGGTTCCCCGCGCGAACGCGAGCGCGCTCCTCCGCGGCGAGAAGCTTCGCGCGAGATCCGCGTCTTGGAGGGGCGCGGAACCGCCGGCGCGCAGCCGCCGCCGCCGCCGCGAGAATGACCGAAATGAAAATTTTATCGAAATTAAAAAGTTTCGCGACCCAGATTCTTCACTCTCCGGCTTCCTCGTCCACCCCGACCCGGTTCTCGTCCTTGCATTTTCTTCCCCTTCTCGCGAGATGCATTTTTCGTTTTGCACGCGCGTCTCCCTTCACGCTTCAGCTCTTGTTACGCTTTCGGTTATTCTTGCCTTCTCTCCTTCTCTCCTTCTCTCTCTCTCTCTCTCTCTCTCTCTCTCTCTCTCTCTCTCTCTCTCTCTCTCTCTCTCTCTCTCTCTCTGCAACTGATTTTCGCGCTTCGGCACTAACGGGAATCAACCGTGTTTCGCGAAATGCAGGTATATTATGTCAGATTTTTCGTGCCAAAGATATTGCCTCGGGAAAATAAAATGTCGCGTCTTCTCTCACCTCCCGCGGAGGATTAGCCGCGGGACGAAAGGATACACGGATCGTAAACGCGCAAACTAATTTTACCCGCGAGATATTCGGAGCTGTGAATGGACCGCTCGTCGCGAAATCCGTGCCAATTCGGAACGGAATCTGCGCGGCTGTGAAGCTTCGTGCGTTCGCAAGGTTCGCAGTGAAATCCCGCGAGACGATCTCAGTGACGACAGTCGCGCGACGCGTTGATTTCGCATAACGTTCGGGCTGATCCGCGAAATGTATGTACCCGAGCGATCACCGTCGGACCACATTCGTCGACGAGACTCGCTAATCCGACGAGGAACATCCGACGAGATAATGGCCAGCGACCGCTTGAAACATTCTGAACGCCAATTGATGGCGAGCGGACGACGAAGAGAGGACGATAACAGGGGTGACCCACCCGCTCGAAATTTATACAGACGCGCGATCCAATTCCCATTCAATATTTCTCGGTCCGTGGAATTGGATACTAGAGGGAGCGAGAGAGAGCGAGAGAGAGAGAGAGAGAGAGAGAGAGAGAGAGAGAGAGAGAGAGAGAGAGACAGAGAGAGGACACACATACCTCCTTTTATTAGATTCCGCGAGGGCGCAATTTTCGATCTTATGCCGCGGCCGGCGCGAACCGCCGATCATTTTCGCGCGCTCTCCGATCGGCATTCTCTCGCCGCCTTTTGTGGCGGGAATATTCCTTTTCACGGCGTAACCCGTCCGCCTCAATCTTCCATCTTATGTCGGCAGAATCCCAATCCCGATACGTGGTGCACCCGTATGAAAATGGTGCTTTACTGCGGATCGAACCTGTCAAGCTACAACGCGACAATACCAACTACGAGTGCCTAGCTGAGAACGGAGTCGGTGACGCGGTTTCGGCCGAGGCTACACTCACCGCTTACGAAGGTAAGTGAAATCGCCATGCCTTGCCATTGTTCATTCGCAACGCGAGCGAGAATCGAGAGGAAACACTCGCTATTCCGCGCGACGAATCCTATATCTTGATCCTGTGGAGAAAGTCGCTCTTACGACCGACAGGCGCACGCCTGTCGAGAAACGCCCGTTACGAGTTATTCTCGATTGTGTACACTTTGCTTCCGACGTGTGTCGAGATATCACGGCACGCGTCAACACGCGTGTCCAGTCATCGTTCATTTGCAGCATTGAAGCACACTTTCCCATCAGGCGTTGCGACCTTCCTTGCAACGCTCACTTGAATTTTTTTCTATTTCTCTGACGCACGGTAAATCGTACGCTCGCGTGCTAAAGCGTCGTCCAGCCCGTAAAGAATTCATTCCGGTACGTGGGAGTAACAGCGCAAGTAATGATCGAGAGTCGGAAAGTGCTGCAAAGTAAGAGCGTCGTATCAAAGACGCGCGTGTGCGTCGTAAAAGACGCAAAAATCTGCACTCGACGGAAATGCGGAAGGTAACGCTGTACGAGAAACGCGCGCGCGCGCGCGCATTCAAGCTGACGTGTGTTTGCGCGATGTATGCGAGGATCACGTAGAGAAAAAAATATACTCCACTCAGTCTCGTCGAGTATATTCTGCTTTTGTAGCGACGTCACACGAGCGAGCGAGCGAGCGAGCGAGAGAGAGAGAGAGAGAGAGAGAGAGAGAGAAGCGAGCTCTTATTTCGAAGTTATACGCCGCGACATAATTTTCGTCGGCAGGCTCGCGGGCTCAAAAGGACTAGATTATACGATACGCCGGTAAAGCTCCGGTTTTATCCTTTCGGTGCGCGAGAACGGGAGCGTGGGAGCAAATTTTCGTGTTTGTTACTTCATGACGGAGGTCCTCGCTGAGAATTTTTCGGCGCATTACGACGTAATAACTATGAGAGAGCTATCGGCGTGCGGCCGTACGACATCGCGTTTAATATTTTAAGGAAGCTTCCAGGACAGCTGCCACCGTTTGGTAATGTTCGAAGCTTTAAGCTTCCTATGCCGAGCCTGAGAGTTTGACTGCGCCGCGCGCGCGCGCGGATAACGGCTTCGAAACTGTTTACTGATTTAAACCTCGCTTAAACGTACTTTCGTGCTCCGAGCCCGCCGATATAGACGATGTGTCATTTATCATTAATGCTGGATGTATCGCGAGCAAAGCTGTCGTACAATACTCGGCTAACCTGCACTCGAGACGCGGGCGGTTTGATTAAAACCGAAGAAACAAGACAAAAATATCCAAGTCGCGATAGCTCTCTCTCTCTCTCTCTCTGATTATGAACGATCGAGCTGTCGGCCGGTCGGTAAAACGCGTAGACTCTGCACAAACTAAGCAAACAAACATTGCCGCCTCTCGCGCGGCGCAAAATCTTTGGAATAGCAGCGGGAGAGGCGCAGACTCCTCTCCCTCTCCCCTTCTCTCTCTCTCTCTCTCTCTCTCTCTCTTTCTCTTTCTCTCTTTCTCTCTCTATCTCGGAGTTAAATCCGTTCGAAATGAAGCGGAAACTTGGCGCGCATCTTGCCGAACTTTCTTTTACCCCATTCCCCCCCATCTATTTACGCGACATTTGTATGGAGGAACGAGTGGCTTAATTCGGCGTTTAATTCGGCAATCAGACGGTAGGCGAAATGAACATAATGAAGGAGAAAACCTAGCCGCGCGCGAGACCTCAGCCTTTCCGCGCGGACGAGGTGGAATCTCTCAAACTTTCGCGCGAAACAGTTTAATTGGCTTGACCGGCTTTTTTAATTCGATTCGAATTTCGCCTCGTGAATATTTCTGCTCGTAATCCGCGGCGTTCAGCCCGCAGCGAAAGCGGATGGAACGTGTCCGATCGGACGTTTCGTCCATCTTATACCGTCCGACTCGGTGCTTCCATTCTCCCTTCCATTCGCCGTTTCGACGTTTCTTCATTCCGTCTTGCTTCCGTTCGCCCGCGCAGTCGCGTCGCGTAATCCAATATGCGCGTCGTGCTTTTTGTTTTTTGTATATATATATATATGTGTGTGTGTGTGTGTGTGTGTGTGTGTGTATACGTATATATATATTTTTTTACCTCGATCGTCGGGCATTTCCTGCCAATGCTGTTCGCATCCGGCGGCCGGACCGACCCCGCTCCTCGTAAATCACGGATATTCACTTGATTTTCTGAAACCTCCGCCACGATTTCAATTTATTTGTTATAAAGTTGATTCGGCCAGATGAGCGCGCTCCCACGGGCGCAATAATATGCGCGCGAGCGCGAGCACGAGCGCGCACGCGGACGCGGACGCGGATCACCGTGAAATCAGCATTCGTCAAATTGATCGACAGTTTTCACCGCGCGTCGTTTCATTCGCGTCCCTATTTTACTTGCGTATCATTAATGCGCGCCGACCGGTGCGAGCCTATGCCTGACGGTGAAAACAATTTCGCCAGCGAAAAAAAAGGCGAAATGCGTTCCGTACGTGTCGACCGCGCCCCGCACCGCCGTCGTCATCGTCATCGTCGTCGTCGTCAGCCCACGCGTTCCTATTCACGCACCGAATAATTCAGCGAGCTTTTACCGACTGGCTGGCGGAGAATTCTTTTTCAAGCACGCACGATAAAGCTTTTTCATGAAGGACAAAGTTCATTCCGCCCGTGTATCCACGAATTAAAGGCCACATTGAAATTGTACGTAGCGGAAAAGGAATCCTCTCCCCTCCCTTCTTCCTCTCTTCTCCCCCTCGGAGCCACCGAGGGCGCGTGCTCGCTAATTACACACGCTAAATCGCGAGGCATGCCGCGAGAACACCTAGCCCACCTCCCGGACCGGAGAATTCACGCAATTAATCGCCGACTCGCAGCGCGCAGCGCGTGCTTTTGTACCCGCGCGTATCCTCTTTTCTCTTCTTTTTAGCGTTCCTGCTCGCGTCGCCTAATAGGTGTCTCCTCATACACCGAGCCTTCTCCCTCTTGCGCAGAAACTATTTCTCGCGTATAACGTTCGCAAAAGACCGGCCGAGGCTGTGAGGGAAGGGGCTGAGACGGAGAGAACGTACACCCGATATTTCCTGCGGACCGTGCCTTGATTAGCCCGCTCGTCCGGAAGGAATAATGTTCTTTAGAGCAGCGATATTTTCGCGGGCCACATGTGCCCGGCCGCCACCCTATTTGCCGGGTGCGCGCGTAAGCTCATGTCGGCCATATCGACCCTCGGCCGCACATACCCCGCGCGCAAACTTCGTTATCCAATCCATTGATACGATAAATACCTGCAAGCTCGTGGTAAAGCCTCATTCGGATAATGCGATTAATTGTTAGCCGAGGCGTGTAATGATATAATGACGTAACGATCGCGCGAGCGAGCGAGCGAGCGAGCGAGCGAGCCCGCCGCGCGATTATATGATACGCGTATTTGGCGGACAAAAAGGCGCAAACGACTGCGCGCGGATAATTGAAATATAGACCGGGCGCGTTACCGGTCCGCCTGTTCAATCTGCCACGCCTCAATCGGCCGGTTATGCATTTTTCATGCGCGCGATTAGGTGACATCGCATCACAGACATACGATAATACGCACGCCGGCCGGCGCGCGTGTAGCGCGGTTACACGCAGCCCTCCGCGAAAGGATTAAATTTACTTGCGATTCATCAGCGCCAGATCCGCCGGGCGTCCCCGCGCTAAAGCTCCGGGATATCAATGTGTATCGGGCGGAATCGCTGCATTCGCGAGTCGACTCGCGATCGCGTCTGTATCTCCGGCGAATTGAACGCTTGTAAAACCACAATGGAGCCAATAAATGCGAGCCGATGCGCGAGAAATGGCGGATATAATGTAAGGATCAGCGAGCGTTACGGGAAACACCCCCACAGCCGCTGCAGAATTTTCATGAGAATTTCGCTCGCCTTCTCTATCCCCCCTCCTATCACCCTCCCAAGCCCGTCGTCGTCGTCGTCGTCGTCGTCGTCGTCGTCGTCGTCGCGCAGCGCACCGCCATTCCTCCTTACGGCAAAAATCTGAAAACCATTTCGGGATACGTGGTCGGGAAACGGCGTACTCGGCAGCGTACCCGACTTTCGTTAGTATCATTGCGCTTTTATTCCGCAAGTTTCCGGCTGCCGCATCGTAATCGCATCTCCTACATCGCGCCGTTCCGTCGTGAATTATTTATCCGATCGTATCGAAATTACAAGTGCATTCTCAGCGGCAAGGATATCCGCGCCGCGTATCTTCCGCGTGCGGAATTCATTGCGACTCGGCGAGGTGCGCGAAGGTCGAACGGCGCGAGACGGATAATAAATTAATGTACTTTTTACGTTACGAGAGGTGCGCGCGTCGTATCCGTCGACATAAGCGCATTCTGGCCGCTGAGCAGAGAGAGAGAGAGAGAGAGAGAGAGAGAGGGAGAGGGAGAGAAAGAGAGCAAGGGGATCGGTATCGAGGTTTTTCGAGAGCGCATCTGAATTTCTCGCAAGAACACCGAACAATATGTGGATGCAATGCGTTTGCGGGGCGCGACGCGACGCGACGCGACGCGGCGCGTAATAAGAGAAAAATGTGTCGATTTACGCGACGGCGACACGACGGTTCCTCACTGCGGGATTCCCCGAAAGCGCGGCTGCGCTTCTTGCGCGTGCCGCGGCAAAAACGGCCCGTTGAATTATTGGTTGCGTTTCTCTCGACGGGATAATGTCGTTTCCCAGTGACGCGTCTTGGATCGATGTTTCGTCGCCGCGAACAAAACAGGCGGCGCAAAAGCTCCGAAGGTATCAACTGCGGCTGTAAAACACGCCCGATTTCGCGGGAGCCGCGTCTCGCGAGTGAGGCCGCGACGCCGAGAGGGCGGTGACGGGCATCCGTCGCGTCGCCGTTTTCATTCACCGCTAAATACGCGTAAAGTATATTAACCGCCGCGCAGAAAGCCGCAAGGCGCTGGCCCAGTTCCGCGTCTTGCAGGGAGCCGGAATGAAATTTGCACGAGGACTAAGTGGCGTCT